CCCAGAAGCCCGGATGACGCCAGGTGCCTCCCCTCCCCGCCCCGCCCACCCCACGCGGGGCGCCCTGCTGTTTCCGCCGTCACCCTGAGCTCTTGTTCCCATCTCTCAGCCACAAGATCTGCTTTCTCGAAGAAACATTGGCCACGGGCCCTGCACTGTCCTGGAATGGAATTTATAGAATATATAACCTTAGAAACAGACACTTGAAAAAATTCAGTGAACAAGGCATGGTGGCACACACCTGGAATCCCAGCACTCTGGGAGCCTGAGGCAGGAGGATTCCAAATAGAAGCCCAACCTGGGCAATTTAGCAACTTAGCGAGACCCTGTCTCAGAATAAAAAATAAAAAAGGGCCGAGAAGGCCCCAGATCCTGAATTTAATCCCCAGTAGTACTGAAAAAAAATTATTGTAATGTCGCAACTGTAACATAAAGCAGAAATAAAGGAAAAGATATTTATGGTGAAATCTAGCCATATGACAAACACCTACTTCCCAACCTGTACGCATTCTGCTGTCCCTAGAGGTGATACGCAAAACGTCACCACTAAGCCATGTTTATCCCACGCCTGCACCGGGCAGCCCTTCAGGGCCTTGCCTTGGCTAATTCCGGGCAAGATGCTTCCATTTCTTGTTGACATCAGAGCTTGTCTCTGGGGAGGTGGGATCCCATGGCTCTGCTGGGCTTTTAAAAAATGTATCGACATCTATCATTAAAGGCACCCAGATCAGCATGGGCTAGATGCATTTTCTTAAAATAAAACATCTCCTTCTGCCTGGCTGTACCCAGCCCCCAGACAGAGGGACAGAACCTTACTACATTTTGGAATCACACTGGTGTCCCTCCTGATCATGACCACTCCCACCTCCAAACAAGGGGCCCCACTTGTCTGGCTTTTATTTTATTGGTTTCTTTTTTTTGTACTGGGGATCAAACTCTGGACCTTGCACTTGTGAGGCCGGGGGTAGAACCACTGAACTAAATCCCTGGCCCTATTTTATTGGTTTTTAAAAACAGATCTCACTATGTAGTTCAGGTTCGCCTTAAACTCTCTGTGATCCTCCTACTTCAGCCAAGTGCTAGGATCACAGGTGTGCGCCAACATGCCTAGCTCTTCACTTGTCTTTCTTTTTTTTTTTTTTTGGTACCAGGGATCAAACTCGGGTCCTTGCGCTTGCTAGGCAAGCAACGGAACCACTGAGCTAAATCCCCAGCCCAGTTGTCTGATTTTTTTTTGAGACAGGATCTCGCTATGTAGCCCAGGCTGGCCACAAACTCGCCGCGATCCTCCTGTCTCAGCCTCACAAGTGCTGGAATTACAGGTGTGCACCACATCTGGCTGACCACAATTTTGGACCATTTGTTTCACCTCAAAAAGAAGCCCTGCTTGGGCTTGAGGGCAAATGCCTGTAGTCCTAGGATTCTGGGAGGCTCCCGCAGGAGGATCACAAGTATGAGCCCTGGGGATATCTGGGGATGCAGCTCATCGTCAAGGCCCTGGGTTAAATGCCCAGCAGAACGTGGGCTGTGCCCTTAGCTATCCCCCCCTGCATCCACAGCCACCTCCAGCTCTGAGCACCTCATCTTTCCATTTCCATGGCTTTGCCCGTGCTGACATCTCGTGTAGATGCCCTCCTATGAGCGCCCTCTTAGCGCCTTCCGTGCAGCATGTCCTCAAGGTTCACCATGTTGTAGCACCTACTGGCACTTTCTCTCCTCTTATGGCAGGATAATTTTCTGTTGTGTAGATGCACAACACTGTGTTTATGCCTTCCTCACCCGATGGACAGTTGGGCTCTCTCTGCTGTTCAGCTATGTGGAGAGTGCTGCTGTAAAAATCTCTGCGTAAGTTGGTCATGGTGGCCCACACACCTGCAGTCCTGGGTACTGGGGAGGCTGAGACAGGAAGACCACGTGAGCTCAGGAGTTGAGATTAACTTGGGCCATGCAGCAAGACCTTCGCTCAACAACAAAAAATCTGTACAGGTTAAGTTTTAATGTGGGCATGTTGTTAGGCTAGTTAGACACTAGCAGGACTAAAAGACAAGCAGAGGTTCAAAAAAGCATGCTCTACCAGCTATAGTGTTTTTGTTTTGTTTTGTTTGGTACCGGGGATCGAACTCGGGTCCTTTGGCTTGGCAAGGCAAGCATCAGAAACACTGAGCTAAATCCCTGGCCCCTATAGTTAAGTAAAGCAAAAAAGACCTCAACGTGTAATACATTTTTAATCATTTATTAGGTCTCAGATCTGAATACACAGGGCCTCTATTTCTAAAGCAGGGCACTGCCTTCCTGGTTGCCCAAGCCTATAGGGCCCAGCGGTATGGAAAAAGGAGTTCTTTGAAGAGCCCCCTGCCTTGTGCTGAGACCTGGTTTAAATTAAGAATTTATCTTTCCTAAGTTTCTCAGATGATTAAGGCCCTAGGGGGAACACTGACTACCTGAAAAGGACAGGGAGCATTTACCAATTCCAAAGTCACTTCTAAGCAAAACATCAGCAGCATCATAATCACCGCAGTTTCTTGACCTCCAGGTGTAACTTTTTTCCGATCAATTTTTATTTTTGTTAGTACATAATGATTACATTCATCGTGGGGAGGTGGTCCATGTTCATAGCACATTTTAATTCTTTTTTCATCCCTTTTCCCTCCCTCCCCCCTCCCTCCATCTCTAGGTCGCCTTTCCTTTTGCAAAAGATTTCTCTCCAGTCCGGGCGGGGGCGGGAGTGGGGGGTGGGTGTACCCTTGTCCTCCCGGGACTCAGCAGGCTGAGGCAAGAGGATCACCGGGAGTTCGAGGCCAGCCCGGGGAACATAGTAAGACCCTCTCTTAAACCAAAAATCATACGTCCCTATTTTCTATTATTTACCTTTTATTTTGCTCTTTCTTTATATTCTGGTTCTCTTGTCTAAGAGAAAACGTGTATATAAACTCGTGCGTCTCAGCACTGGATGGTCTCCAGGTGCATCCATTTCCCTGCAGTGTCTGGAGCTGATCCTTCCTGCCTCCGTGGCGCCGCCCACCTTCTCGCCTGAAGGCCTGGATCTCTCCCGACCGGAACAGCCGCGGGCTTCACCGCGGGTGCCTGGGGCCGCAGGGTGAAGAAGGCTCGGCCGGGAGCGAGGTCCCAGGGTGCTGGGATTTCGATCGGGGCTGCTCCCGACCAGCTGTGACCATGGGTGGGCCACCTCTCGCTCTGCCTCAGTTTCCCCTCCTGCAATGGGAGCAGGATCACTTACCTCCACAGAAGGACAGCGGAGTCAAGGGTGGCGTGGAAATAAACACTGAAAAACAAAAGCCCCCCCTTTAGGTTTTTTGAGACAAGGTCTCGCTAAGGAGTTCAGGCTGGCCTCAAACTTGCGGCGATCCTCCTGTCTCAGCCTCCCGAGTGCTGGGATTACAGGCGTGCGCCACTCCGCCCGGCTCCCCCTCGTTTTTGTTGCTGTTTTTTCGTTTTTCTTTTCCTCTGTTTACTTGTTTCCCTTTTGTCTTCGTCATTCCTTTATCTCTTTCTGCTCAGACGCAGGCGCCCCACTTATCCGCAGGTGGAGCGAAGCGCAGGTCGGGGCTGCGCCGGGCGTCAGCGGGCGGAAGAGACACGCATAGGAGCGGGGACCCGAGGCGGTCACTTTGCCGGGACCGGGCCGGCCCGCCCCAGCCCGGGGCCCACCCCCACGTCCCGGGCTGCGCTCGCCCCACCTCCGGTCCGCGGCCTCATTGGTGGAAGCCACGGGGGCGGGGCCTCGACACTCGGCCCCGCGGGCCTCTCCCCCTCCCCGGCCCGGCCCTGGCAGTCCGAGTCGAGCGGAGCGGAGCGGAGCCGTGCAGATCCTCAGGTAGGCGGCTGCTCGGGGCCCGGCGAGGCGCTGCCAGCCCGGGGCCCGCACCGGGGGTCCTCGGCCTGCTCCGCGCTGCGTCTGGGCTGGGCCCCCTCGTGGGGGTCTCTAGCCAGCGGCCCCTAGGAAACGCGCGGGCTTGCGGCCGGGGGGGTGTGGCAGCCCCGGGCCGGGCCGCGCTGCGGGGAGCGTTCCCGCTACCTTCCGGCTACCTGTTTGCCGCGCTGCCGGCCCCGCCCTGTCCCCGCGGTCGCCGGGCGGCCGGAGCGCGGGTGGAGTGACTAGAGGCGCGGGGGGTGAGGGCGGGGCGGAGCCAGCCCCGGGGCCCGGCGGCTCCAGCTTCGGCCCGGCTTGGGTGGAGGGGCCGCCGGGCGCGCTCCCGGGTGTTTGCCAGGCCCGAACTCTCCCTTCGGCCGCGCTGGCAGCTCGAGTCTGCAGGCCGGAAATGCAACATTTGTTTTCTTTTCTTTCTTTCTTTTTTTTTTTTTTAGGTACTGGGGATTGAACCCAGGCTCTTCAATCTACATTCCCAGCTCTTTAAAGAAAAATTTTTTTTAATTTTATTTTTGAGACAGGGACTCGCTAAATCACTTGAGTTGCCACAAACTGCTATTCTGCTTCAGCCTCCCAGAGTGCTGGGATTACAGGCACACATCACCTTCTCCTGCTGACTTGATTTTTGGTTTGGGGTTTTTGTGGGGTTTTTTTGTACTAGGGATCAAACTCGGGACCTTCTGCTTGGGAGGCAGGCGGCGGCAAAACTGAGCTAAATCCTCGGCACCTGCTGACTTGATTTTTAAAAAGGAAGACGGGGGCCAACGGTGGTGGCGCACATCTGTGATCCGGGCATTTGGGAGGCTGAGGCAGGAGGATCACCGCCAGTTCGAGGCCAACCTGGGCTCCTAGTGAGTTCAAGGCCAACTTGGACTGCCTAGCGAGACACTGTCTCAAAAAGTCAGTCAGTTAAACAAACAGAACTGGGCGCGTGGCTTTTCTGGGCTTGCAGTGGGTGTGTGTACTGGGGTCAGCGGGGATCAGCCGCTGCAGGTCGGAGGGCCTCGGTTTCAGAAGTGGAGGTGTCTCGGAGCCACTGCAGCAAACGAGGCTCGACTTTCCCTGGCAGGAGCGGGTGTGTGCACATAGAAGGAGCTGGCTGTCCGGGTGCTGAGGGAGACGTTAACGTATTTTTCCTGTTTGGACATTTAAGGCTCTGAACCTATTCTTGCCCTACTAATCTGCTCGCCACGGTGAAGCCAGAGGGAACTTGTGAGAACAGTTCAAACCGACTCCCCCTCCCTTCTTACAGTTGCCGCTGACGTCCCCATTCTTTGCAGGGCTTTCTTTCATCTCCCCACCGACCTCATCCGGGCTCCCTGAGGCCTTTGCCCCTTGCCCCTGCAGGTCCAGAAGACCTGTTTCTGCCGCCCCCACGCCGGCCGCTCCAGGGCCGAAGCGCGGTCTGGGGGCCACACTAGGCCCAGTGGGGGTCCCGGGAGGGTTTTGGCCTTTTTCGTTCTGCTGAGTGGCAGACAGGGCGTTTGGTTTTGGTTTGCGTCCCATCCGCGAGAACTAGAAAGGGAGGGAAGCGTTATTTCAGCGCCACCTTAGGCAGCGCAACCGTCGTGCACCGAGCCCACCCTGTGCTTCCACCGAAGCTGCGCGGTGACCACGTCTGCACCCCCCGGGACTCTGCACCTACGCTGCGCGACCAAGAAGTGAGGAAACAGAGGCAGGGAGCGGTGGGGTCAGTTGCCAGGGGTCCCCGAGGGAGTGGAAGAGCAGAGGCCAGGAAGCCCAGGAGGTTGAGGGAAAGAAAGCTGGGATAGAAGGACTGGGTGGGGTGCAGGCCAGGGGTCCCTTAAGGACGACTGCTGGGGGGTGACAGGCCGAGAGTGGGGTGTCCCTCGGACAGGGCTGCAGGGGCCGTGGGGAGTGGGGAGGTAGCGGTGCTGGGGGAGGAGTCGCCTGGTTCCAGGCCCCTGGGTCTGAAAGCTGTTCGGGAGGTTTGCTGTTTCCAGGCGCCGCTGGCCGGCGGAGGGCTCTCCCCGCCTCCCGGTCCCCCCTTCCAGTCCCCGCCCCTCATCACTCCAAACCCAGCTGTCCCTAGAACAATGGAGTGGAGTGTGGCCCTGGGCCGCCGGTGCTGCGAGGCTGCCGTCAACCTCTGTCGCTTCCAGGGACCCCTGGGCGGGGCTCAGACCCCCCCTCCGCCCACGCACCCAGATCTGCTGGGCTGAGGCTGGGGTGGGAACGCGATCGGACTGGGATGGGATCTCTCGAAGCTTACAACCTAGGATCCTCAGGGCAGGTGACCAACAACTCTGCGACCTTTCTAGCAGTCTTTACCTGGTTCCCAGTCTGAGCCTCCTCCTGTGAGCTGGGCCAGTTGATTGCTCCAAGCTGCTACTCTGCCCCAAAGGCCAGCAGCTGCCCTACTGGAAATGCAGACTCTCTGGGGCTGGGGGTGCTTAGCAGGCTCTGAGCCCTGGGCTCCATTCTAGGCACCGCCCATGAGTAATAAAAGGAAAGAGCTAGGGATGGGGGTTGGGACAGGGCAGGGGCTGGGGTCATGCCTGTAATCGCAGCACTGGGGAGCCTGAGGCAGGAGGATCTCCAAGAGTTTGAGGCCAGCCTGGATTACATAGTGAGTTCAGGGCCAGCCTCAACTACAAAGGGAGATCCTGCCTCAGAAAACCAAAAAAAGGGGAAAAAAAGCAGAATCAGAGCCCCACACCCTCACCTTATAGAATCAGAATCTTCATTTGAACAGGATTCCCAGAGATTGCTGGTGACCAAAGTGCAAGCCCTCTGTGCCTCAGTTTCCTTCTCTGTGAGATGAGAATGACAGCGGTACCTACGCTGTTGGGTTGAGGTGAAGATTATTCTAGTTCATGCTCCCAGCAGCCCACAGAGATGGCAGGTACAGTCCTTCTGCCCTCCCCTGCATGGCTGTTTTTTCTTGCTGCCTGCCCTGTCTTCCTGTAGTGTGGCTTTGTGCCCACCCTGCCCTCACCTCCTTTAGCAGTGGCCCAGCCCTGGACATCCCCCCTCCCCCCAAACGTCACGGAGCGCCCGAGAGCCCTGTGTTGCAGGCTTGGAGAGGTTCTGGCTTTGCCTAAGTGAAGCATCCGACCTGAACTGAGGTCTTGTCCCCTTCCTGTGCCCCTTTCTGCCTTCGAGAAGGTCTGGAGCAACAAGAAGGCAGCCGCAGGACCAGACCCTCTCAAAGTAGATGGCAGATGGAGCTGCTGGTGCCCCGCCTTTTTTGGACCAAGCCCCTGGATACTTGTCTTGGAGGCCCCTCACTGTGGATGTGGTTGGTGGGCAGGAGGGCCTGGTGGTTAATGGGGTGCTGTGTCCTCAGGTCCTCAGTCCCCAAATACGGCATAGGGGGGAGCTTTGGGAAGGCTGGGTTCTCAGAATTACTGGGAGGAGCTGCAGCTCTACGGAAAGTTTCCAGGCTATTTTAGGCGGAAGCCCCCTCTCCCAGCAGCTCTCGGGAGGCTGCCTGCCCGACACACCCTTCCCTGGGGATAGGCAGGGTAGGCGTGGCTTCCTGGCTCCCTCCCTTGGCTGGGCACTCTGTACTGGGGGCCGACTGGGGGGAGGTGAGTGGCCCACACTGGCTTCTAGAGGGCAGATGTGTGACTTGGCATAGGAGGCAGCGTGGGCCTAGCTGTGCAGGCCGGGCATGGTTCCCCTGGCTGATAGTCAAACCTGTGCATGCCATGGGTGTGTGCACACAGCCGTGAGCAGATACAGTCTCATGATCATTTGCACAGAGCCCTCCCCTGCATACGTGTACACACTGAATGGGACATGGGGTCTGAGTTGCAGGCAGAGCCCCCTCCTGGCCTGACCTGGAGCCTCCTGCCCCCTGAGCTTCCAGGGCTCCTGCCCCTCACGGTGGGAATTGAGGTGCTAGGGCTCCCAGGCTGTGCCTGGAGTTGCTGGCAGTGCTGACCTGCACAGGCTGGGCTGGGCCCTAGCCCGCATGGCCTCCCAGAGGCTGCCTGGATGGTGCCAAAGGGGGCGGCACTCCACCCCCACCCCGGTCACTAGCATGCTGTGCCTCAGTTTCTTCCACTGTCCTGAGTGTGAGTCCAACACAGGACACATCCAAGCAGGCAGCAAATGTGGCAGGGCTGGGGCGCATACTGGAGACCATGTGAACTGAAAGGATTGGGGCTTTGGTCCTTCCCCCATCACCCCGAGAGCCGAGGCTGGGCCTTGGGGATGTAGAGGGGCCCCAAGCTGCCCACAGGGCCCTCCCCACCAGCAGGCGGGGGCTCCTTCCATTGTCCTGTCTGGGGGACTGGGTGTATTTGGGGCACGAGCGGGTTGGGCACAGAGAAGGGGTCCCCAGTCTAGGCCTGTTTAACTGCCTGGGAAGAAGTGGACACCTCCGAAGGTGTGACAGAGAGGGAAGTGTGGAAAACAGGAAGACACGCTGGAGGCAATGGCATGCTCCTGTAATTCCAGCCCTTGGGAGGCTGGGGCAGGAGGGTCTCTAGCTGGAGGCCAACCTGTGTTACCTACGTATGCAGTGAGGTTCTTTCTCACCGCCCCCCCAAAGAAAACAACAGAAAAGGAGAAGACAGGACGGTGGCAATGATGATGACAGCAGTGATGCAGTGCTTCCTGGGTGCCCCGCCCTCCTCACCTCACTTCCTGTCTCAGCTCCTTCCCCACCCCCATAACCCCCTGCTGAGCTCAGGCCCTGCAGCCTCCCTGCAATGCTCAGGTGCCTGGGTTCTTTTCAGGCCAGTACTGGGGACTGGCCCCAGGGTCTTGTGCACACTAGTCAAGTGTTTTAGCCACTGAGCTACACCCCAGCCCTTTTTAAACTTTGAAACTGAGTCTTATTAATTTGCCAACTCTGGCCTCAATTTTGCAGTCCTCCTGCCTCAGCCTCCTGAGTAGCTGAGACTGCAGTGTGGGCCATCGTGCCCAGGTTAAAATGGACAATTCTTTCTCACTGTTCCAGTCTCAGCTCACACCCTCATACAGGTGCACCCCAGCCCCCATTGCTTTTTTATTTTACTTTTATTAGTACATTTATTTTTCTTCTTTCCTGTGTTGGAGATCGAACTCAAGACCTTGCACTTGCAACCGCACCACTGAGCTAAATCCCCGGCTCCTTATTAGTACATGTTTGCCATACATAATGATTACATTCACTGTAGGCAGTTGGTGTATGTACACAACACATTTCAATTCATTTTTCCCCTTCCCTCCACTCCCCTTTTATTTTTCTAGTGTCACATTCATTTATTTAGCTTCTAAGGCCTTATAAAGTTAATTATCACATATACAGATAGAAAACCAGACTAATAGGCCGAAGAACATAGAGACAACCCCATTGCCTTTATATCCCCCCCCCCCGCCCGTTAACAGGCCTTTGGGCAGTTGGTGCATTTGTCTACCCATTTATTCTCTGCTTCCAGGCTCAGCCTGGTATATCCAGGAGCATGAACAGGGCCCAGTGCTGGGGCATGTATTTGCTGAGTGACTCAATGATGAGAGTTACAACAGAGCTGACAACGCTTGCTTGTTTTGGGACAGATTGTGCGCCCAGTGCTTAGCATGTGTTATTTCCTTTCCACTTCATAACTCTGGTGCGATGTTGGGACTATTTCAATTCCCGTTTACCAGATGCAGCACCCGAGGCCCAGATAGGTTAGGTAACTTGCTCAAGATCACACAGTTGGCATGGGCCGGGGATTTAGCTCAGTGGTTCCGCCGCCTGCCTTGCAAGAGCAAGGACCCGAGTTTGATCCCCGGTACCAAAAAAAAAAGGATTACACAGTTGGCAAGTGGTAGGAGTTGAAGTCAGATGTGCTGACTCCAGGAGAAAAGAGGGAAGGGGACTGGTTAGAAGGGGGAAGGGCAGTTCCACACTCCGCCTGGGTGTCCCCAGGTCACCGAGGTACCACCTATCGTCCTGGGAGGCTGGCCCTCCTCCTCTGGCCCAGCCTTCTTCCCAGAACTCTGGGCATGGAACATTCTAGGCTCTATGACCTGGGCTGGTGGGTTGTGCTGTGCTCGGAGTGTGAGCCCAGTGGCAGGGCCTTTCAGGGGCTCCCTGGACTTGGGGTCTTGCTTGGCTGCAGCTGCAGCTGCAGCTGAGAAGAGGGTGAGGAGGTAGCTAGGTCACCTCCAGAGGGCCAGCAGAGAGGGCTGCCCTTTCCCCGGGACTGGAGGACAGCCTGGTGTGGGGGAGCCGGGGCGGGGGCCAGAGCAGGGACACAGTGGGTTGATGGCTTACTATAAATGAAGGTGGCGCTGGGTCCAGGGTTGCTAGAGATGCCTGTTTTTTCAAAAGTATCTGGAATCGAGACTTTCAGGCAAACACCTGGGGTATTTAAAAGATCGTTGGTCTTATTCCCTTCTCTCCTCTTCTCCTCTTCCCCTCCCCTCCCCTCTCCTCTCCTCTCTTCCTCTCATTCTGGGGATTGAAGCTAGGATCTTCACACTGAGCTACATTTACAGTCTTTAATTTTTATTTTGAGATAGTCTTGCTAAGTGGCCACATTGCTGGGAGCTGGGGTTGAACTTTTTTTTTGGAACCAGGGTTCAAACTCGGGACCTTGCACTTTCGAGGCAGGTGGCAGCACCACTGAGCTAAATCCCTGGCCCTGGGCTTGAACTTTTGCTCCTCCTCCCTCCTGCTTGGATCAGAGGCACTGGCTACCTCGACAGCCTGGGGAGCCACATCCAGCCTGCCTGAGGCTGCCTAGCCCTGCCTGGCTGGTGCACTTGATGAGGCTCTGGGTTCAAGCTCCTTCCCAGGCCCCGCACAAGGGAGTCCTCATCCCCAGCCTGGCAGACTCTGCATGACACCCACCCGCTGTCCCCTTCATTTGCAAAAGCCCTCAGTCACTGAGGGCCTCTGACACCTGGGGCCAGGCAGCTGGCATCTTCCTGTCCCTCGGTGTCCTTGGAGGATCTAAGGAGGTCCTACTCTGGAGGACATGGGGATATTGCTTTAGGCAGAGGCTGTGGATTCCTCCTAGCCCTCCTGCTGGGCCTGGCCAAATCCCAATTCGTGTTAGGGGTCAGGTGTTAGGGGTTATGGAGAGAATTCACTTTCTTTTTGTGTTTTTTTTTTTGGTACCGGGGATCGAACTCAGTCCTTGTGCTTGGTGCAGCAGAGAACGAAACCACTAAGCTAAATCCCCGGCCTCGAGAATTCACTTTCATAGAAGGGATGGGTGACTGGGGTGGGTGGAAATGTGTTGTGCAGCGAGCATCTGGCAGCCTTCGAAGTGCCCCTTCCCCTTGGGGCTCAGGTCACCACTAGGCCTCCCAGGCCTGGGAATGGTCTGTGACACCCCCTCAGGCATCCACACTGGGTCCTTGAGCTTCCTGAAGTCCTCCTGAGTATGTCCAGATCTGTGCTGGGCACTGGGGACTAGGGGATGTCCTTGTAGTAGGGGCTACCTGGTATTTTCTTGCAGACCTTCAAGCCTGAGTGGACACCTGACCCAGCGGGGTGTGGGTGCAGACAAGGTGACCTCATCGCAGCCAGCCTCAGCCTGTGCTGGGCAAGAGGCAGGAGTGTCCCACATGCTGAGCCCTGAGTGCCCTGTCTCTCTCTAGGTCAGCAATGTCATCGGAGCCTCCCCCACCAGTGCCTGCACAGGCCCCCACTCACCAGCCTTCGGGGGGGCTGCTGGACACCCCTCAGGACCGAGAGCGCTCCCCATCCCCGCTGCGGGGCAACGTGGTCCCAAGCCCCCTGCCCACCCGCCGGACAAGGACATTTTCTGCGTGAGTCAGGCTGCCTGGGATCAAATCCTCACATGGGCTCCTGCCTGAAGCCATAGAGCTGCTGTACTAAGCTGTGTGCCTGGGGGAGTCTGGGGTAGTGGCAGGGCCTGGGTGGGTCAAGTGGGGTGTGCCGTGGGTGCGTGGAGAGTGGGTTTCTGCCTTGGAGGCTGCGGTCCCTCATGCCTTCTCCTCTGTCAGAACGGTGCGGGCTTCCCAGGGCCCCGTCTACAAAGGAGTCTGCAAGTGCTTCTGCCGGTCCAAGGGCCACGGCTTCATCACCCCAGCGGACGGTGGCCCCGACATCTTTCTGCACATCTCTGAGTGAGTCCACCCTGGGCCGGGCAGGCACGGCCTCACTGACAGCATGTGTTAGGACTTGTGTGAGGCTGGGGCGACGGTCCCCGAGTGAGTGACGGTGGATGTCTGTGGGGTTGTGGAAAGTGTGGGTGTTTGTGTGTGTGCGTGCGCGCGCGAGTGCCACGCTGGGCGCCTGGGGTACACACACAGCCAAACCCGTGGAAACCAGGAGTGGCAGAACTGCTCAGTATGATTGGGGTCATGTGTCTGGCTAATGGGAGGGGTGTCCCTGAGTCAAGGGTGCATGTTGGCCTGGGAGCTGTTTCCTGCCCTCATCCAGGGAAGGTGGCCTGGGGGGACTGGAGGCTGGCAGCCCCTCTGCTCCAGGAAGGAAGTTTGGGGCGGACCCTTTCTCCTGCAGCTCACTTACTGAAGTCCTTCCTTCCTGAGTGTCAGGAACCACCCCCTCCTGGCGCAGGATGGGGCTCACAAATCCTAGGGGTTGGAGGGTGCCCAGTGTCCTGCAAGTTACCTTTGGTCTCCTGGGCAGCCATCTGATACAGGGCCCAACACCTCTCTTTGGCCTGAGCACCCCCTTTTTTTGGTGCTGGAGATCAAGCCATGCTAGGCAAACCCTCTACCACTGAGCTACACTCAGCCTGCACCCCCAGCCTTTCAGGCAGTGGCAGGCAAGTTCCCACTCCGCACAGCAGACCTGGCAGTCAGAGCCTGCTGGGCCTGGTGGCACATGCCTGTAATCCCAGCTATTCGGGAGGCTGAGGCAGGAGGATTGTGAGTTGAAGCCCACCCTGGGCTACTTAGTGAGACCGTTTCGAAATGAAAAGTAGAAAAAGGGGTAGGCAGGTGGCTCAGTGGTTTAGCATGCCCGGTTTCAATCTACAGCACAGAAAAATAAATAAATAAAAAGAAGGTCCTGTTGCACATCTCTGCACACTGGGAGAGTTGCCCTCCTTTGCCCCTACTCTGACCTAGCCGTTCTCTTTGAAAGGCCCCTGTACAGTGCACCCATGAGAAAGATGCTAGCGTGCTACATTTTGTGTGTGTGTGTGAACACATATGTGTAAGTGTATTTCCACACTGCCTCTTCCAGAGAGGATTTGTGGTGGTTCCCAGAGACTTAGGCAATGTGCTGTGAAAAGTGAGTTGGTAAGGAATGTGTGGTTCACCGAGGACTGGGCTGCAGGTTTATTCCTGAGCTTCCTGGTGGCACATCAAAGAGGGAAACGTTGTCAGTCTAAGATTCCCTGATTCAGACGAACCAGCTCTGGGGGAGCTAAGGGTTTTTTCCGTTGGGCTGTCATCAAGGGGCATCAAGGCACCAGTCTCACTGAGATGGTCTGGTCTTGCTAGGGATGGTCACAGGCAGAGGACCCCTCTTAGAACTAGCTTGAAGAATAACAGGGACTTTCCTTGAAGGATTCAAGGAGTATCTGGAGAATTGAAGGTCAAGGCTGTGTCCAGTTCCTGGGACTGGGGCCGTGTGGTGGAGGGAGTGCAGGAAGGCTTGCTGGGTGTCTCTCCTCCCTGATAGCAGCCCTGTGCTGGCCTCCCCTCCCTGCCTCCCCTCAGCGGGCCCCGCCTCCACGTTTAGTTTGATGCTCTGAGCATCCCCAGGTGCCTGGGCTGTCTGGGCCCCAGTATCTGAGCCCCAGGGAAGAAGCTGATGGGACCCTGAGGCTGGGAGCAGGTGGTGGTGGCTTCCAGAGGGAGGACAGGAGGGCCAGGTCCTTGGAGTGGGGTTCTGGGTGGTCAGTCAGATGGGCCTCCACCATGGTGGCCCTCTGCCGAGCTGGGTGTTGGAGTCTCGGGCTGGACCTCTGAGGGCTTTCCTGCCGAGAGCACTGACTGTTTTCCTCCCTCCCCCTAGTGTGGAAGGGGAGTACGTCCCGGTGGAAGGTGACGAGGTCACCTATAAGATGTGCTCCATCCCGCCCAAGAATGAGAAGCTACAGGCTGTGGAAGTGGTCATAACTCACCTGGCACCAGGCACCAAGCACGAGACCTGGTCTGGGCACGTCGTCAGCTCCTAGGAGTCCCAGGAGCACTCCTCCTCCTGGGCTTGGGGGAGACTTTGGGAGGAGGCGGGGCCATGATGGAGATGACATTCTCCTGCACAAGATGGGGTTCAGGGGTGGGACATGGTCCCTTTCAAGTATCCCCTAGAGGAAGGGGACCTGAGGGCAGGCATGCGGTGCTCTCGGCCACCAGCACAGCCTCCACCATCATCTCAGCAAGTTCTTGCCATCTGAAAAGCATTAAAGGCATTTGAAAAGGCGAGGCACCCCTAGTGGCTGAGCAGAGAGGGTCCAGCCCCAGCCCAAGGGGTGGGTTGGAGGTGGTTTTTCCTCAACTGCCTGGAGCCCCTCTTCTCCATTTCTTTGACTTAGAGGCTAAAAATCCCCAGATCTGTGTGGTCCATAGGGGGTGACTTCCCCCCAGTGCCCCCCCCATCTCTGCTGGGGTCCGGGCAGAGCAGTTTGCTAATTCTCTGGTTGGCTGTAGGGGATCTGGCTTGTGGGCATGGGGGGCTTTTGGATTGAGAGACTTTGCTTTTTGGTGCCTTGCAATGGGGCACTACCACCACCTGTCTAGGAAGACGGTGCCTCTAGGACAGTGTTGGCGAACCTTTTAGAGTTTTCCGTGATACAAACAGCCCGCTGTGGAACGGGTGCCATAGGTTTGCCACCACTGCTCTAGGAGCTCCTGCCAAGGGCCTGCAGTGCACTGGGCTTTTCCACATCTTTCTGGTGAGTGGTCCCCCTCTGCAGCCATTGAGAACTTGTCATTTAAGACACCACTTTGGGGTGGCCATGGGGGTGGATTAGAAGAGGCTGTGGGAGGAAGGCTTGTGGAGAGGGGCAACTTTGTTTCAAGAACAGAACTTTCCTGATCTAGAAGAGTAGGTATAGGTAGCATGTGTTCTGATACCCAGATAAAGTTAAAAGTTGGAGAAACATGCTTTCAGTGGTGGTGGTGGTTTTTAAATGCTTAGTTTTTGGGTTTTTTAAATAACAAAGCTCTCTTCCCCAGAGCCACCTGATAGATCCTTAGGATTTCTTTTGTAGTGGTTTGGTTTGACTCTAGGTGTGATTTGAAAATAGTTGGGCAGTATGTTTTCAAATTCGTGGCCTAAACCAGTTAAGGATTCGCTTGTCCATGCAGGGGGGCTGGCCTGTGAAATGGCTTGGTGGGGGGGGCTTGAGGATGGGAGGGTCATTTTGATGCCGGAAGCACTGACAGCCTCAAGTGTCTTACTTGGGGTGTGTTTGGCCTACCTGATAAGGCTGTGTCTGAAAGGGGATGGAGGGCTAGAACCTTTCTGCTTCTAACTGGTGGAGCTGTTATAAGTGTGTTGGTTGGGTGTGTGCGTAAGTTGCTCATTTTTTGTTGCCTGTGGTGCCCCTTGAAGGATACCATTCCCTTCTGTGCTGCCCTCTGCAGGCCCCAAGGTGTCCTTTTTTCTGCTGGGTCAAAGGTGGCCTTGGTGCCTCCCCTGTGGCACCTCCCTTGAGGCCTGTGTTTGATACAGACCGCACACCCAAGCCACTTCTGCCGAGAGGGCTGAGAGCTCCTGAGGTTGAGAATCTTCAGTCGCCTCCTTCCTTCCCCCAAGCGTCTGTATTGCTTTGTTTTTGCCTTGGCATCTGGTCACTGTGACCTGCAGTGGCCCCTACACTGGTGTCCCAGTGGACTGGGCCCCACAGTGAGCTTGGGAGCCACATTCTTCTGTCAGTGACCTTTGGATTCTCTCATTTGGCAGAATACTTTGTCAACAGCTTTCTAGGTGACCACACTTTTTCAGTCCATGAGTATTCTAGAACTGCAGGATATGGGAGCTGAAAGAGATATGCTCTGCTCTCACTCGGAGACTCCATTTACTGACGGGGAGGGACTCAGGGTGCTGGGGGATGGATCTGGGAACAGACTGCAGGATTCCCAGATTCAGATCTTGCTTCCCAATAGCCACTTTTCAATAAACTTTGTTTTGTGTAAGGCTGTGTGTTTGTTACCACGGAGGCTGGCTTGCCAAGAGCTTTGCTTGTGGGCCAGTAGGTCAGGGACCCCCTCTCCCCCCATGAGGTAACACCTGCTTTGCAGTTCCTTTTAAAGGAACTGAGAATTCACGTTTCTTTAACTGGTAGTATCAGCATAGGAAAGCTGAGCAGCAGGAGGTGGCCCAGGCATGGTAAACAGCATGGGCTCTTGGGGAGTGGATAAATGCCCAGTGGTGGTGGTCAGGATGTTGTATGGATGTGCGGTTTCCCAGTCAGCCTGTGGTGAAGGGAAGGATTTGCAGGTGCAGACCATCCCATCCCAAGGCATTCATGCCTCAGATGTCTTAACAGGTGAGGCTTTCCAGACACCGGGTGGCTGGGAATGGAGACAAGGCTGTCCCCACCCTCAGGGAGGTCCGGTCACAGCGGGAGGGTCCCATCATGTGCTCTTGAGGGAGGAACATCAGTCTGCTATGGGGCAGGGGACCAAGGGCAACCAGGGCCAGGTGGGGACATGTGGCAGTCCAAGGCACAGGGGACTGGAGTGTGGAGGGGTGACGGCAGCCGCTGCTCTGGGAGGGACTTTGTGCCTGGCAGGAAAGGTTTTGTCCCAGCCAGTGTTTCCCAAGGGAGAGGGACAGAGATGGGCGTTTTTATTATTCACAATGATCTTCAAAGTGTATTGGGAAAAATCATAACCAGACCATCAAACCTGTGTAGACAGAGGCCAGAGTGGGCCTTTAGCTCCAAAAGCTAAGATGAGCTGACTTACTACACCAAAACTAGGTGGGCCTGGAAGACAGACGCTTGGTAAGCCAGCTTGGGTGAAGGAAGTGGAATTAGTTCTAGAACTCACTTTGGGGTGCTGTGGAGCCAGGAGGCTGGTTGCCTTTCCTTGGGGTGAGTAGGGCCCAGCCTGGCTGGGGCTAAGATGGGGGGGTGTGTGGGAGTGGGAGGAGGAAGAGGAAGCAGTCCTCAGGAAGTGATTCAGGGCACCGGCTGCCCAACTTGTCTTTCCTCCAGTCACTCCGCTGGTGACCTCACAGTGGGAGGCTGGTACTGGGCATCAGCTGACCCGGGTCCCTACCTGCCTCCCTCCTAGGCTGGCCTCTCTGCCCTCCAGGGTTTAGCTGTTCCCCTGAGGCTGCTGGAGCCCTGGTGACCTTGAGTCCAAGTCTGCTTCAGTGGTGCTGGCAAGGGTGACTGACTTTGAACAGGCTCAGGCTGGCTTGGGTGCAACCTCTGTGGCGGCTCCTTGCTCAACTTGCATTTAAATTTGTGATAGTGTCTTTATCCCGCCAAGGGTATGACTGTACCACCCCACAGGGCTCCTGGAGGCTTTGTGAGTTTCTAATCACGCACACACTGTTCAGAGTGCTTTACTGAGATCATTTCCTTTAGAGAACGTGTCTGGTGGTGACTGTTCCACCTGAGATAAGCACCAGCAGGCCTTGAACCTGGGCTGCTGCTCTCAGCTGGCTCAAAACACACCTGGCCCTCAGCTCCTGTGAGGTGCCAGCACGCAGTGCACTCATGTGGCCCAGCCATCACCACCAGGAAGCCGTTGCCGGTAGTCCCTGGGAGCATGGGACTGGGACAGAGCCCAAAGTCCCGTTCAGGTGGAAGGGGGTAAGTGGAGAAAATTGAGGCAATGCAGAGGGGGTGATCTGCTCCACCTCCACTTACAAGGAAGGTAACTAGGGGACTGTGGACCTGAGCCATAGGCAGGATGAAGTGGAGGAGGATGTGTCTGTGTCTGGGACGTGGAAAGCCACCCACAGCACCTGGTGTCAAGCACTAGAGCAGAATGGCTCTCAGAGCCATCCGGTGGGCTTCCTCCCAGAATCCAAGATACAGTTGCTACTTTTTCACTTTACCACCCACCCAGAGGGGAAGTCATCAGGAGAAATAGCAAACAGTGAAGTTGCTTTAATGTGCTGTGCTTTGTTACAGTACCATTTACAAAACTCAACAAGGCCACAGGGTGGCCAGCTCTCAGAAACACTGAGATCCCCACCCGTGTGGGCTGGAGGGGGAGAGGGACAGGTGTGGGTCACTCTGGGCTTTCACCTTAATTGGTGCTAACCCCCGTCAGCTGAGTGGCAGGGGCAGGAGGGTAGGCTTATCTGTGGGGAGCACCTGGTGTCCCTGGGCCCCAGCACCAACCTGCCTGGAGGGGTTGTGGGTCCCAGTGATTCTAGATGCTGCCAAGTGGCTGGGAACCGTTCCTGGGAATCTCCCAGCCAGGTCCCAGAAGAGGACAGAGGGGAGGTAGAGGGCAGTAGTAGCTGCTACCCCTCAACTCAAGGTCTGAACAAGGCTCTGGGCAGAAGCAGACGCCCTAGGATGCGGCTCCTGCTCCTATAACCATTGCCTGAGGAGCCAGGCCCTGTCCAGATGGTCTCCTGGTGACCCCTAACCTGCCAAGTGAGCTGCTGTGGACCCAGGTGACATCGGGCCCCCATGGGAAGAGCTGATGGGTCCTCTGTCCTGCAGGCTTGGTGGCTACAGGAATGGAGCCAGGCTGTTCACTGTGGCGACGACAGAGCTGGCCTGAGCGCTACACCAGCCAAGGTGCAAACTCCACGGGGTCAGCTGTCACCTGGCTGGCCATCTGTCTGGCAGGCTGTGCTGAGGTCTGGCTCACAAACAGGAAGTGGCTGGGAAACTGTGTCTAGTCACTCGAGCTCACAGCCCCGGCTTCCATTCAGACTCGGAGTGGGGGTGGGACTGCATGTTCTCTCTGGTGTCTGGTCCCTGCAGATGGCCTGTGTTCTCTTTCAACATCAAATTCTCCTGTGGTGTCGACAACATGGAGATCTGGACATTAACAGCCGTTAAGTTTTCACAAGACCCACAGAGAGGGAGGCCAAGGCACGTCTGTATTCTAGAATGACGGCAGTTTCAAAAAAGCCACATCTACTTGTGAGTGTGGGCATCAGGCAGATCTCAGACTGGACAGAGTCGTTTGTTGGCCGTGTTCCTCAAGCTGTTTCTTTTGTTTTTGAGAACCCAGGGCCTCCTCACACCAGACAAGCCCCCCACCCCTTCTTCAGTACTGGGGATGGAACTCAGGACCTTGGGCCTGCAAGGCAGGCGGCGGCACCACTGAGCTAAATCCCCGGCCCAGACAAGCACTTTAATGTTGAGCTACTCCTCCAGCCCAGAGCATTGACAAGTCTTTTCCTCTCCCTTCTGGCTGCTTTGGCAGTGGAGGTAGAGGCATGAGCTGGTGGGAGTGTGGGGTGATTTTCTGGCCCAGCAGCTGCCGTAGAGCAGGCTGGGGGAGGGAGGTGCGTGTAGTGTGCACGAACTTGAGGGGCCATGGCTCTGCACCCCAGTGACCTTTCAGGCTCTTTGGCCAGGACCCCTCCTCTTCTGTGTTAAGAGAAGAGCTCTTCACAGATCCTGCGTGTGTCCTCGGGCGCTGTCACGGTGTAGCTCACAGTTCGAGGGTCTGTGAAAATCTCGTAGTCATTGCCACCCTGCAAAGACACACAGCACAACTGTAGAAACTCCACTCTGTCCTGGGCCATGGCCGCTGGGGCCCGGGAGCCTGAGATCTCACTGGCAGGGAGAATTTCTTCAGGTGTCTCTGTTTCCAAGAGGCGATCCACATGAGAGCAGCCACAAGGGAGAAAGCATTTTACCCTCCTCTTGAACTGCAGTTAAGCTGGGAACATGTAATTATGCTTATGAAAGGAGTCACGATGCTCCGGGAAGATCTGTCTAAGGCTTACTTTTCTATAAAGCAAGCACAGTGAGTGACAGAATTCTCACAGCCACACCCGAACTTCTCCAAGTCATGAGGAGCATTGGAGGGCAGAGCTGGAGCAAGGCTGTGGCCACGGGGAGCCTGCAGCTGGGGTGACACAGTTGAGGTTAAATTTAAGCGGCCCCGCCTGGCTAGTGTTTGGGCTGCTCTGAGAGATTTCGGGAGTGGGGGCCCAAGTTGGACCCTGGTCTGACAGTGACTAGAGGTGTGTGGCTGCGGGCAATAGCCACCTCTGGCAGGGATGAGGAAGGGCCCTTGCTTGCAGGGCTGTGTTGATGGCAGTGAGTGAGCTCTCCAAGCTGGGCCCTGGGAGGTGAGCACTAGCACCTGCTCTGTGGCTTTCTAAACATTTTCAGCCACTGTGTCACCTGGAGTGCTTCTAGGGGCTCAGGCATGGGTGATTTACACCCTGGAGAAGATGAGACCACTGAAGCCTCAGAAAGGACGTTTTTTAATTTTTGGTTTTTTGAGGCAGGGTCTCACTCTGTAATTCAGGCTGGCCTCAAACTCACAGCAATCCTCCTGCCTCAGCCTCCCAAATGCTGAGATTACAGGCGTGCACCACCACACCCAGCCTAAAAGGCTGTTTCTGCAAAGGCCATGTCTGGGTGTCTGGTAAGACTTGAGTAAGGTTGCTAAGGTTGAGGTGGGTGTCCAGGAACTAAGCTGAGTGCCCCCACCCGCCACAGGTTCCCAAACCAGACTGCCTGCTGCTCCAGCAGCCCCAAGCCATTCGGAAAAGCCTGCTTTTCTTGTTATGGGATTTCCTAAATTTTCCTCATCAAACTGAGTAAGCTGTTCAACTCTAAACCTGGGGAAAAAAATCATTTAATTTACAATACAAAGAAAGTACAGAACAAAGGGATTTTTCTCATAAAGCACAAAACATGAAGGTAATAGGGAGAAAACTCTGGAAAACCTGACAACTTTTTAAAGGATGAATTGGCACTGAATTGCTAGTACTCCTTGTTTTTGTAAGAACAAACCACTTCTAGACAGCTTCCCAGGTAGAGGTGAAGTTCAAGATGTCAGGAGGGAACAAGCTGGGACAAGGAGCGCTGGGTGGAGCCATGTCACAGGCCACGAACTCAGGGCAAGCTTCTGTATAGTAAAGGCTTTTGGTCGGTGACACAGCCCTGAGTTTTGTGGCCAGTACCTGTTCCCCAAATACATATGAAACCAGGTCTAATAATTCTTACGATTAAAAGTCAGACTTCTCTTAGGAACAGCATGGTGGGTAAAAATCACAGAGGTGAACAAAGGCAGAATGTGGATGCTTCAGAACCAAGCATCTGTCCGGGACACATTCCCTCCGGGTTCCACCCTGACTTAGGAGGAAGGAGTGAGTGCTCAGGCATTAACCAGCCTTTGGGGAGCACCACCACCTGCCAGCTGTGGATACAGAAGCTGGAGCCACTGTGGTGCACAGAAGGGACATCAGGGCTGCCTGGGGACCTCACCAGGGGAAGTCTGGCCGCAGACTAACAGATCTTTAAAGCTTTGTGGTCAAGGGCAAGGGCTGTGAGAGGGCAGGGTCAGGAGCCTAAGCATGGCTTCTGAGCAGTCCTGAAAGAAGTGAGGACAGGCCCATGGGGGTGAGACCAAGCCAAGAGTGAACCTGGGCACACGGGAGGGAAGGAGCTGGGCTGAAGGGTCAGCTGGGGCTGACTGGGCCACGGGGGCTCCACAGACGTCAGTAAAGGACTTGGGGTTTTAGGGGAAGTGACATGCAATCTGACTGGATTGCCTAACAACAGATCTCTCTGGAGAATGGAAGGAGCTGAGGTGGAGGCTGAGGGCAGTCAGGAGGTGCCTGCAGCCACTCAGGGCGGGACAGGAGAGAGCCACTACCCCGGAAGAGAAAGCACAAGATTTTGCACAGGTCCATGACAGCTGCCATAGGTTTGAGGTCAGCAGAAGCAGCACCAAGCTCCAGGCTGGTGACAATAAGGCTTCAGGGAACTGGAAATTTCAAATGCTGGATTTGCATAGGGACCCAAGGTTACTGGATTCCAGTAGAGGAAATGCAGCCACCCACAAGCTCCCAGCTCCGAGAATAAAAACTTCCCAGAGAAGATAAGGGGAGGGAAGGAGGGGAGGGTGAGTGAACACTCGTATTTCTGTGGCAGTGTAGTCAGCAGGCGCACAGGAGGGGCCTCTGCTCAGTGGGGCACTGGAGAGTACCCCCACCCTGACCCACTATGCATGGGCTTTCACTGAACTCTGCAGTGTAGTGGGGAATGGCCATCCTCTGATGCAGGGCCAAAGAGGGAAAGAGTGCTGGGACTGTCCGCAGCCTGTGTCCTGATCCCACTGGGAGGCCAGCGGGCACTTGGTACTGGACATTTACCCTAAGCACTGATGGCCCCACTATAGTTTATAGCCCAGACGCTCACTGCCCATCCACACTTAACATGTGGGTTTTGTGATAAATTTATCCAGTTTCTAGGTATTACGGGTACAGAGGCCAAGAGACAAGGGCTGGTCCTTGAAGCACCTAGAGCAGCAGCTCTCCAGGCTACAGAAAGTCACAAGGACCTTAAAAATGCCCTTTGCAGAACGAGCCCAGGTCCAGGGTCACTGATGGGTGGTGGTGGGACACCCCTGGCTCTTAGGCTGGGGGTCTTGAGGGGAACTTTGGACCCCCCGTCTGTGGACAGCTGGAGGCACAGCCCCCTCGTTCCATCTCGCCTTCGAGACAGACAGTCTGTGTGCTGGCTATGGCACGGTACCATATCCAGGAGAAGCCAGTTATGTGGCCCCAGAGAGCCAGCCACACTCCATGGGCCTGGAGACTGTGCCTCCCTGAACACAAGAGCTGCAGTGCAGATGGAGGCAAGCAATGGTCGCTCCTTGGGAGAACCGTTCTCAGGAGCAACAGGCCATGCATGGGCTGTGGTGCTCAGGAGCAAGGCAGGCTGGTGGGACTCCAGGGAGTCTGAAGAGTGTGGCACATACCTGCTTGCTGCCCTCCCACGTGGGAGCCAGGGGACATCTCTGAGCTGGCTTGAGACCCTCTAATCTGGTTCAACCTCCAGCCAGCCCAAGAAGCAGACAGGAACAGCAGTTTGTCTGGCGGGTCCCCCTGGGAGTGAGGGGCTTGCCTTGGCAAGCTGATCTATGCCTGCCACCAGCCACAGAAGGAGATCTGGGGCTCAGGGTTCTGCCACACAGACAGATGCACAGCAGTAAGACAGGCAGGTCCAGAGGGCTTATTCCATGCACACTTTGGCTCTCCCGAGGCCAGAGTGAGCTACAGATGACACGCATGGTGACTCAGTCCAGGATGGCGAAGACTAGCTCCTGAGGACAGGAGGGCAGTGCCCACTAATTATTATCTTGACTGTGTAAGAAGATGCCTCCTGGCAAGGGCACCCATTTCCAGGGACCCTGGGCAGGCCCCAGCCTCTCGGCAATGGTGAGTTTTTTGGCAACTTTCCTATAACATTCAATGAAGCCGAGTTAGTTGCAGGCAGGTCCCCACCACGAAAGCTACACCTGAACCAGGCCTGGGCCACCCCCTCTCCTCCTAGAACCTTGCTCCATCTTCATACTCCTCCTTCACAAGGGGAACTGTGGCTCCACTGGGCTGAGGACACTGAGGCTCTCAGTGAGACACGGCCTACATGTGGTCATGGTGGTGGTAAATGGCAGAGCCACATCCGGTCTTGCTGATGCCCTGGGGCCAGTGGTAAGGCATACCAACCATCCATCGTTTTCACAGTGCAGAAGAGTGAGATGCCATGCCATTTCATGGGAGTTAGTGTCCTGGTGTTATCTCTCTCCTACCCCTCTCCTACTTACGTGGTACTTGCTGTAAATTTTTTTTAACCTGAAAGACTCTCTTTATAATATGAAGAGAGACTCTTTCCCTCTCTTTAGACAAAGGTGTAGACATTACTTAGATCGTTCTGCACTTGGAGAGAGATGCATCCGCATCAGCTCTTTTCACCACTCCGGCACCGCAGCGCAGAGACAGAGCCCTCTGTCCGTGGCCAGTCCTGTTCCCAGTCCCAGGTGCTCTGTGTGCTGCTTCACACATGTGAGAGCACTGAGCTGATTCCCTAAATGGCAGTACCGAGGCAGAAGGCACCTCAGTCGCTAATGTTCATGAAGAGTCAATGTTTTCATGCTGTAATGGCCTTAAAGCCAAGACGCGCCTTTCGAGCAGCACTACGCACAGACGCTCCTTAGCCTGAGCAGTCAGAGCCCCAGGAAGCCACGTAGCGCATTCTAGGGGTGTCTCAGTGTCCTCACCGTGCCTCTCCCTCCGGGCCCGGTCCAGGGCCTCTCAGCTGAATTCAGAGCCAGGTCTTAGGAACCACAGGCGGCTGTGGCAACGCGAGGTTTCTGAGACTAACACATACTTGAAAAAGCGAGGGCCACTGCCTCACCTCCTCACTCCACTCTGGGCAGCTCCACAGCCTTCAGTGCCTTCCAGGGAAATGGCTTCTTACCACAAAAGCTCAGGTGCCATTTCCCTAGGAGCTAGCAAAAAACATACACTTCAACATGAAAGAGAACAAGCTTCATAAACATCAATCGTCCAGTATGAAAGGGTGAAAGGTAGTAGTTGGACTGTTCTAAGCCAAAGCTTTCAGATGTGATTTAAAGGTTTAGATGGCTGGATTGCTGATTCCCATTTCCAGGAAACCCGATGAAGGGGGAATGCACGGATGTACACCGCAGAATTAGTTACGACATAAAAAACTCTTACTCCAACCAGTGTGCCTCTATTAGGGACATGGGTAAACAGGCTACGCTAAAATCAAAGATTACATAATCGTTAAAAACCTTGTTTTTTGGGGCCAGGGATTTAGCTCAGTGGTTCCAGTGCCTGCCTTGCAAGTGCAAGGACCCGAGTTCAATCCTTGGTACCAAAAAAAAAAAAAAAATCTTGTTTTCAAGCCAGGCTTGAAATCCAATCCAAGCTACTCAGGAGCCTGAAGCCGGAGGATCACAAGTTCGAGTCCAGCCTGGCAACTTAACCACTTAACAGTTTACCCTCAGTGTCACTTGAGCAGCATGTTCATTTACATACTGACTATCCCGAGCCTCACCTGGCAGGTGTCATTTCAACGAGTCGATTCTTGTATTGAATAAATGTGATAAAACTCACTTTTATATTTCTTGTTATACTATCTCATAAAAATTAATGAAAAAACAATGCAAATTTTGGTCATCCTGTATTTAAATAATTGGACTATTATTAAGTGGTTAAAGAGACTGTCTCAAAACAAAAAATAAAAAGGGCTGGGGATGTAGCTCGGTGGTACAATGTCCCCTGGGTTGGACCCCCAGTACTGGAAAGAAAAAACCTTTTCAAAGAATATTCACCAATAGGGGGAAAATAAAACATGTTAAGAAAAAACAATTGAAAAATAAAATAGCAAGTATGAAGAGATCTCACTTTGGGGGTCTCAGTTATAGAGAAAGGCTAGGAAGTGGCTCCTTGGCTGATCAGCTGAGATTACAGGTGATTTTTTTTCATACTGTTTCTAATTTTCTACAATGAACGGATAGTAATTCACAATCTGGGGAAAATTCCATTAAGTAGTACTCATTTTTAAAAAGCAGGCAAGTTATTTAAAAAAAACCCAAAATCGACATATGGCAAACAGCACCTCCTCTGATCATTTTCTGACTGGCCCAGAACTGCTTTCCATTCCAACCGAGGCTTCTAGATGACTCCCTGCACACACCACAAAGGTCATCATTACTGGAAAAATCTGTTGTAGTATGTTTTAATAGCTCTCATCTCCTTCTGTAAGAAATGATACCAAGCCAGAAGGACTAAGGAAACTTCTTGGCATTCCTTAGATTATGGGTGTAGTTTTACTACCTTAATTTTTAAAAGACGTCATATCAGCTTTGCGCAGTGGCAGTATCATAGCCAATGAGGTTTATCCGAGGTGCGATTATTGCTAATTGAAAAGACATCATATCAGATAGTGAGTTTTTTTCAGACTTGAATTCAAAACATTTCTGCATCCAAAGCAATTCAAAAAAGGAATGTGGTTATAAACCATTTCTCTCTGTCACTAAGAACAAGGCCGTGGCTGGGGGGCAGATCAGTGGTAGAGTACTTGCCTAATAGGTGTGAGGTCATGGGATCTTTTTATAATTAATTTTAAATTTTAATTAGTTCTCATTACATAATGATTATATTCATTACATTCATAGGTGAAGCTATGGGTTCTATCACCATGAAAACGAAACAAAAAACAAAGAAACAAAAAAACAAGGTGAAATGCCACATCTCTTTCATTGGGGAATTAGACCAAGATCCTTCTTACCCCACTGAAGAGACAGCTTGTTGTAGGGGAATGCATACTTACATATGCACAGAAGTAGGATTCCTGGATCACATATAGTTCCATATTTAACTGTGTGTGTGTGCGCGTGCGTGCGTGCGTGTGTGTGTGGTAGTAGGAACTGAACCCAGGACCTCTGCACTGAGCTATATCTCCAGCCCTTTATAAAATTTTTAAAATTTTGAGACAGGGTTCCACCAAGTTGCTAGGTTGCCCAGGCTGGGCTTGTACTTGAAATCCTCCTGCTTCAGCCTCTCGGAGTGCTGGGGTTACAGGCATGTGCCACCACACTAGCCTATTTTTAACTTTTTTAGGAACCTCCATAAAGTCTTCCATCTTGGCTGTGCCATTTAACATTCCCATGGGTTAAAGGATGTGCCAATTTCTCCACTCTCCTGCCAACACTTAGCTTTTTATTTTCCCTTCTTTTTTTTTTTTTTGGTACCAGGGATTGAACTCCGGTCCTTGCGCTTGCACAGCAAGCGGTGAAACCACTAAGCTAAATCCCCGGCCCTTTTCCTTCTTTCTTTAATAGCCATCTTACCAGATATAAGGTGATATCTCATTGTGATATGACATTGGATTTGCATTTCCCTGATGATTAGTGACGCTGACCCTTTTTTGATATACCTGAGGGCCATCTGTATGTCTTCTTTGGAGAAATATATATTCTCCATTTTAAAAATGGGTTATTTGGTTTTTCTGCTATTGAGTGGTAGGAGTTCCTTAGGTATTTTGGATATTATCCCTTTAAGAGACACATGGTTTTCATATATTTTCTCCCATTGCACAGGCTGCCATTTTACTCAGCTGTTTCTGCTGCTGTGCAGAAGTTGTTTAGCTTGAGGTAACTCCACTAGCTTATTTTGGTTTTGTTGTGTGTGCTCTTGGGGTCAGATTTCAGAAATCACTGGCAAGACCAATGTCCCTTTCCTTCTGCTTTCTATTGTTTTCTTCTAGGAGGGTTATAGTTTCTAGTCTTATGTGTAACTCTTTAATCCACAAGTATATAGCCAAAACAATGAAATCAGGATGTTACAGAGATATCTACACTTCTGTATTCATGGCAGCATTATTTCTAATGGCCAAGGACAGATGAATAAAGAAACTATGTAGATTTATAAAATGGAGTATTACACAGCCTTAACAAAAAGGAAAATCCTGTCATTTGCACAATAAGGATTAACCCAAAGGACATTATACTAAGTGATACAAACCAGTTACAGAAAGACAACTATTACATCATTCCAACTCACAGAAGCAGAGAAAGGAGGCAGAGGAGGGGAGGTATAAAGTTTCATTTATATAAGTTGAATCAAGTTCTAGTCAATCAAGTTCATAGTGCTTACAGTTAATAATACTATAGTGTCCATTTAAAATTTTGTTAAGGGCCAGGGATTTAGCTCAGTGGTTTCGCCACCTGCTGCACAAGGGCAAGGACCTGAGTTCGATCCCCAGTACACCAAAAAAAAAAAAAATTTTAAGAAGGTTGATCTCATATTAAGTGTTATAAAAACACCATTACTAACCCCCCTAAAACCAAAGAGGCACAAAGATTTCCAAACTCATCAAAAGTGCATTTACTAAATATGTGCAGCTTTTGTATATCAATTATACCTCAATAAAGCAATGTAAAACAAACAAAAGAGCTGACAGGTTTGTTCTGCAGCCACTGGCTCTGTCATTAGTTATGTCACTCACCCGTTCAGCTCCTACTTTTATCATTCTGAAAGCAGGAAGTGTGCCTGGTCTCCTGAGTCCCCTTTGCACCAGGGGCCTTGCTGGAAGGCAGAACTGTCAGATGGTGGACCTTAGCAGAGCAGCAAGTTTTTAGCGTGGACCAGTGATGAGGGGATGAGGAATGCTGTACCTGTAGCATTTACACTGCACCTGCTGGGTGCAGGATGCCCACACAGCCTGACGTGGGACCCCTGATGGCAAGGGAGCAGAGGAGTTTGAAGGGATACTGAGATGCCAAGCTCAAGAATGGGCAGCGAAGAGCCGGTGCTGAGCTCAAGCTTTTGGGCAGCAGGATCCGGCCACCCAAGGACAGTGCCATCTGCCACTGTGCCTTTGGGGAATCTGCTTCTAGGAATCCCTCCTGCTGACACTGGCCTTTCCCATGGGCTATGCTCAGTTCCCAACTTAGATTCTGTGTTGGACTTGGGATTTGTGATACCCCCTTACCCGACAGCTCCCAGTACCCTCTGTGCCTGACATTCGGGACGGACCCTACCTCTTAACTACCCTGACGTCCTCTCCTGAGTCTTAGGCTCATGAGTGGCCCTATCATCTCATCACCCATGGTTCCCAGCGCTCCACTGACAGTGAAAGGTGTGGGTGGGTAGGTGGGGGGAAACAGTAGAATAACAAGATAAAAATGGCAAGGGCTTTGAACTACAGAGGGCTTGACAACACCACCAGACGCTGGGGCTTTGGATGGTACCTGAAGTGGGCAATATTTAATTCAAAACCCAAACCCAAGAGGATCGACTAACATGAAGCCTAATCCTTGCCTCCCCTGGGCACTGGGTGTCTGGGCTCGGAGGGGAAGGAGGCTCCTCACATCCCTCTCTAGGGCAGAAGCCATCACTCAGCTGGGGCTGGTGGGTGAAGTGCATATGCAAGGAAAATAGCCTAAGGACTGCTCCTACCCCTTTCAAGCCTGAATTGAATAATGAATCTGCAAAAACATTTTCCAACTTACTGGCATAGTTTTGTCTCCGAAGAAGTAAATAGTCTTATAACCATCATTTTCCACATGTCTCAGGCAATACCTCTTGTCCCATCCATCAGGAAAGACATCAAAGCTGATTTGGCCTCCTGCCAGGTGGGGAAGAATACACATAAAAGCTAAGGGTGACAAACAGGCTCATGGGGAATGGGGGTGCAGCTCACTGAGAAAGCTTGCCTGGCACGTGTGAGACCTGTGTTCTATCCCAAGCACCCGCCCTGCCACACACATCATTGAAGAAAATTTACAATTTGCTCTTGGCCATCAACTACACTGTTCAAGGTTGGGTTTTCATACCCTAGTTTGCTACTTACACTACTTTAGGGGTAGGTTCTAGAAATTAATTCTATATTATGTTTTTGTTCTCCAACATTATTTCACCGGGGTCTAAAATGAACAGAGAATGCCAGTTCAGACTGAGAAATGTACTGGTACATAAGGGCTCTGTCAAGCAAGTGGGCCTAAGTGAAGCGCACTCGTGAAAAAACCTGCCAAACACTTCATTCAGTTAACTGCACTTGTCTTGTGCTCAACACGCCCTCTGTGCAATATGACGGCAAGCAGGCTGTGTCCAGCTCATCTTGTAGGAAATATGAAAATCACACAGAAGGAGATTTAACCCTTTCAAAGGTCTACAGAAAAGATGTTCATGTCATAGTTCAGAACACATGCAAACCCACCTGTTCATATATTCATTACACATACTTCCTTTCCAATTTCACTTCCTATGGCCTGTACATTTATTAAACCATTTATTAAACCCAACAAGAAGGGTTTAAGTAAAGATTCCCATAACTGATGGGAGAAACGAGTTTGTTTAAAGCAACTGACAGGGATGTCCTGCCATATGCCAAGACTGAGATGTCCAGGCTGTAGGAAGAACTCTGCGACAGACACTGGAAATCTCATGCACTGGCCGTGTCTTTGTGAACCTGGACAAGTTTCTTCACCTTTCTGGGCCTTGGTTTCTGCCTCTGTAAAAGCAACCCGAATGACTCCTATGACTCCTTGCTTCTGAGATACTGCATAATTCCAGTAATAATAATAATAAAATATTATATAATAATTGTGATCCTATAATAATAATTATTATTATTGTGATCTCGCTGTGTAGTTCAGGCTGGCCTTGAATTTCCTATGTAACCCAGGCTATCCTTGAACTGTGGTGATCCCCCTGCCTCAGCCTCCTGGATTATAGGTATGTGCCACATTGTTCTAACTCAACTAAGAGGTTCACATTCTGTCTTTCTTCTGAAGTTTATTACAGCGCTTCTCTTTTGCTCCAAGGGTTGAGGATAAGTTCCTACTCTTTAAGCATCAAGAAGCTCCTCTCCTGACCAAGAAGACAAGCACAGGCAGGAAGAATCCTGCAGAAACAGACACAGAGTAAGGTGCAGTGGCACATGCCTATAATCCCAGCTACTCAGGAGCTGGAGGCAGGAGGATCACAAGTTTGAGCCTATCTTGGGGAACTTTGAGAGACTCTTTCTCAAGATAAAAAAGAAAAAAATTCTAAAAAGGGCTGGGGAGTGTAGCTCAGTGGTAGAGCACTTGGCTACCATGCCTGTGGCCCTAGGTACCGTCCCCAGTACTGGAAAAGAACCAGACACTCTGCTAGGGCTGATTATGCAGAAGAAAGTAACCAGCACCCCCTTCAGATTGTACCACTCACATAATCTTCCTGCTTACCGAACACTGAATGAGCATAGTCCAATCTCAATAGCACAGGGGTTCACAACCAACCGCTGGTATATAGGCACAAAGTCTGGAACACACTTGGCTATGTCATACCTATGGAAAACGTGAGGCCTCTTCCTGCAAACTCCTTCTGCAGATCAGCTACAAATTTTTGTCTTATATTTTCTTTCTGAGAAAAACAAAAGACAGTGATTGCCACTGTCTAGCAGTAGAGAAGGAGCATTTCAGATTCTGGTCGCAAAGTTGCACATCTTATCTTCTTTCACCACAAACCCAGCCATTTCCCAAGGACAGTTCAGAAGGACTCACTTTATCGAGTTCGTAGAACTCAATGCGTTCTTCTTGGCTGCAGCTTCTTCCAATAGGGGACACATTCAACATCCCATTCCGGAATTCAATGAAAGTGCCTCTGGGGAGGAAAAGCGGACAGAGGGTTCCTAAAACACCTCTTATTTGGGCAGCACTATAGACAAATAAACAGGCTAAAAAGCCGAGCAGTTCTAAAAAGTGTGTGTGGGAGTGTGATCTATGTTTCTCAGAGCTGAGCCAGACTGTAACCTTGAACAACACAGGATTAGAGCCTTGAAATGTGGCTAAGCCACACTGAGATGTGATTTGAGACAGACTAAGAAAAAGGAATGAGGCAACCCATTTTCCAGCCCCCTTTCTGTCTCTCTTAGTCAGAAGCTACCTTTCTCTCAATAAATTTTTCCTACGCTAAAAAAAAAAAAAAGAAAAAGAAAAAGGAGTGTAGTCATCAGTCTTCATCAGTAATGCTTGCTATTATGTGTTAAAATGTTATTTCGGATATATTGGGTTAAAGATAAATTACTAAAAAATTACTTTCAACTATTCCTTTCTTCTTTTATATGGCTACAGAAAATTAAAAATTACATTTGTGGCTCACATTATGCTTCCACTGGACAGTGCTGCTGCTGGGAAGATTTTATAGGTGATAAAGAGCTAAAAAAATGACCACCAGCATTACAGGACCAGTCCTTGTTCCCTAAGGACTATGAAAACACATTTCCCAGATACTTATTTTGCTAGTGAGCTATTAAACACACCGACTTTATTAAGCAAAGCTACACAAGAAGATTCGGAGAATCATCCTGGGAGCCTCAGTTAGAGCTGAGGAAACTCGATTTACCCAGTGCAGATCGCTCCCAATTGTCTGATACGATCACAGAAAATGAGAACCGCCTAACACGCCTTAGTTACTTTGAAGACGTTTACAAACACTTTTTTCTACCATGTTTCTAGTTTTAGTCTTAGAACAGTTTCTAAAACTGAGGTGAGCTCTAAGCTATTCATTCTTACAAATGAAATCTCACCATCTTGTGACAAACTGTGCACTTTACAAACTCTCCACAGTGCTGCTTACAAACCAACTGGAATATTTTCCCTGATCTCTGCCCACTGTTTTAATCACATGATCCTGATCTCTAGCTGCCTACCACTATTAAGTAATTAGAAGCCACATGCCAGGTGCAGAGCTGTGGCCTCTAATTATTTACAGGCTGTCTGACCCTGGGCACCTAAGCTTCTGTTTACCCATCTACAGAAAGAGGCCAACGGCACTGCCCTGGTGACCTCTGAAAGGTTTTGTGAAGATCAAATGTACCAGTTTATGTAAAGTTACTTTGGAAACTGGAAGCAACTGAATATTCTTCACAGGGTAGGAGCTGCAAACTGGCAGCTGGAGTCTGGCCCCTGCTGTGCACAACTTGCAAAGGAAGTAGTAAATAATACAGGAAACACAGGCACCTAATAAAGTTTTCCAAAGATTCCATATCCAGGTTGTCCCAGAGTTGGTGGGGACCCAGCTCTGTCCTTTATCAACATGGCCACTGAAGGACTACAGGGACTGCTGACCATTCCCAGGGGCGACTCTAGGGCTACCAGTCCCGAGTGATCAGAAACAGAGCTCAGTTGTTTCTCCCAACTCAAAGACATACTACTCATTTCCAAGGCATGGACGGAAGTCATCTGAAAAATGGGGATTAGGGTAGTTTATCGAGACTCCTGGCTATCTGAGGTTTTACTGCCTTCGCCTGACTTAGGGAGAACATGTGCTTAATACTTGTGCAAAACATGGACAAATGATAATCAAGTGAGTCTCAGTTTAGTTTTCTGAGTTTACCAAGTATCTTATGCTATTCTGTAATTACAGCTGTGCATATCTGTCTCCATTACACTAAAAGTACTCTGAGGGTAACATTATACCTTGTCTTTTAAAAATAAATCCTCCATTAATGCTTAGCCCAAAGTAACTATGGAATGGACTGGGATATATGTGTATTTTAACTTTTCACTATGAGGAATTTCTAACGTATATAAATAAAAACAGAATAGGATAAGGAACCCTCTCATACCCAACAGCCAGCTACAAATACCAGCAGGTCACCTGCCTCACCCATGCCCACCCCAGCATAAGGAAGCTCCTGCAGGCACGCTGGAGAAGCTCAGGGGGAGGCACTGGCTATGTATTCTGACTACTGAAAACTGGAAAGAAAATAAATGTCAAAGAAACCACTTCAGGGCCGGGAATTTAGCTCAGTGGTTCCACCACCTGCCTTGCAAGCGCAAGGTTCCAAGTTCGATCCCTGGTACCCCCCCCCCAAAAAAAAGAGAAATCACTTCAATCTCTCATCACTGAGAAATAGCCACTGTTAGCATGTGGTCTGCTTCCTGCGAATCTTTCCACTGTGGGTATGATGAGGTACATCACAGCTAGTCCTTAGAAGGGACATGGTAACAGTAGCCAATGGAGGAGGCAGATCCCCACTCAAACGTCTGCAGGGGTCAGAAAGTGAGAATGGGCTTTGAAAGACTGCAACAAGTTCTGTGGGTTGGATGGGGAGGGGAGGGGGTTAGGGAAAAGGGAAGGAGGACCCAGATAGCCAGGTCTTTCCACTTGCCAAGAGAAGCCAGAAATGCAGATGTTCTAAAAAGAGAAATCACTCATTTTTTAAATGATAGCAATTAATTTGGATTTTATCTAAGATCTGGCATTGTGTAGGGTCTGGCTTGAAAGTCTCTAATTAACAGACTTCAGGTCTGGGGTTTCTGTTGATCTTTTTTTTTTTTTTTTTTGGTACCGGGGATCGAACTCGGGACCT